TGCAGGGGGCTTTCAGCGGGATCTACAGGATTATTCAGCGGACGGGTGTATGGGGGGGATGGGGGGGGGGGGTTGCATCGAATGCGCACCACTTGATAGTAGGAGTAGTGGGCGGGGGTGGGATTAGGGCGCGGAGTGGGAGACAGAATTGCTATTACTACACGGCGTGCATGCTGCTGCCACAGCTGCAATATGTGTGCGTACGTACGTGGTGCACTTTCTCTTCGTCGACGGTTGCTTGAGGGAGGTCCTCTCGCGACTGCAACACCACACCCAACACCTCGTGGGGGACGAAACACGCCACCATCAGCAGAGCCTCGTGACTGCGGAATGCTTGCCACTAGCGAGGCTCAACAAGGATACCAGCGACACGGCTGCTACGTGCCCGACGGGAGGGCCGTGCTACTGTAAGTCCTCAAGTACAACAACACCGTGGCTAAAATATAAGGCAACTAGACTGCAGGAGCCCTCACGTCTTTAATTGTCGCGCCCTTCTTTCCGATCAAGCTGCCGGCCTGGAAGTTCGGAACGAGAAACTTGATGGCGGAGTCAGGGTCTGTTCATCACACCGAAGCGCGACGGAAGCACCGGTAGGGCGAAGGGGGAAGGGGGGCGAGAGAGACAGGGGATCATCAATAACATCGACGGATTTTCTTTTGTGTTGGCTTTACTATCCCACACCTGCCAACAGAAACTCACTCTTTTCGGCAGAGAATGTGTGGGTTCCCAACACTTGCCACTTGTCTGCAGGAATACGCCCTCTCTCCCTGGCTGTTGCAGCAAATGGTTGGAACCTATGTACACAGTAGCACCAGAAGATACTTACTTTACTTGAAGGCTATCTATCCATTTGTTTTCTCTCTTCTTGGCAAGGAGGTGGAGACATTTGAACTGGGGCGACGTGTCCAACCACTGCTTGCATGCACCACCAACACCGCCTCTTTCGATTACGCCTTGTACAACACAACAACACATGATGCAGAATTCGCAAAGTTATGCATATATATTATGTGCAAGCATGCACATGCACATGCACATGCACATGCACATACTGTCTGTACATGCATACGTCTACCATTTGATGATCCTGCTTTCATTACCGCATGTCGGACAGAATTTAGTATCCAGCCACCGGTGCACCGGTGACATTTCACACCGGTGACATTTCATTGCACACAAATAAATAATGTTCGGAAATCAAGGACCAGAGGGGGTTCCATTCAACTCGACTACTACTGCTGTACAAAGGCTCTAACTCCTATCTACGACACAAGTTAATGTGGGTGCGCACGGGAGCAGACAGACGCATGAATGACCAGACTTATTGTGCGCAGAACCAAGAACACTAATTTTTACCATACCGTGCTGCTGCCTGCTGCCTACGTGCAGAACCAAGAACTATTATTACTTGTACATCGTGGCATCGTGTTATCGTCTCCAATCGTGGGAACAAATACATTCCGGAAAAAACTGTTCTTGGTGGGTTATTTTCCGCCCCTCGCGGTTGTGTTTCCCCCGCCGGTGAGTTTCGTGTGTTTTTGGGTTGAATTTGAGAAGGTCGAAGCCGGGGTAATTTGATTTTTCCAGTTTCGGTTTTCGGAAGAGTTTGGTTGTAACAACAACATCATCAATGATGTCCGCGGCAGGTGTCGGTACTTCAAGCTGAAGTGTGCATACAATACAAACCATGGTATGTATGTACGCAAGACTTGTGCATACTCAATCGTAGGACGAATCATTGCACGCTGCTGTACGTCGCGTGCCCAAGGGCACCGCGGCGCTAGACGCGAGGTTGCTGCGTAACGGCAGAAGCAGAACCCGGAAGTGCACGTACTTGTGCCATGCATGGCACTACTCTCAGTTACATACATTCGGGGGTATGCTGTCTGTAGCGGGACGCTGCTACTGCTGTGCGTACGGAGAAGGTTACAAGCACCATCAACTGCATGATCTACGGGGATGCAAGCATCTGTGAGCGCGGCTGGTGCCCTGTTTCTGCAGTGTACAGTACGCAAAGCTACTGGGTTTGGTGGCAGCAGCAGCACAACATGAGCCCCCAGCCGACGTCAATGCGTGGCATGATTTATATTCCGTAAAAACTGATCTTTTTCCCAAATTTCGGATTGTCCGTCCACAAGAAAAGTGCTGGAAATTGTCAGCAAAACCAGCTCAGCTTGACGTCTTGGTTTGATTTGACGCTGTATATATATCTGCTGTGCTGCGTGGAACCAGATTGCGTGCCGGGTCTGTTTTTGATGCGCTCCGGCGAGGATTGCTGGGCAGTTGTCCAAGAATCATCAGCCTGCTAATAACCTTAGATCCTGCTGTCATGCGGTAGACCATGTTGTAGGTTGGTTGTTGGTACGCCGAATGAAATCCGTTTTTTTTATGACGCGCAGCCCTGGATGCACGGGGAAAAAAATTGAGCTACACACACATACGCATCCGGGGCTTTAAATTCACCGCGGGCTAAAGGCAGTTTCCCGACGGTAGCTGCGCTAGCGGCGACCTATTGGCTTGTGCTGTCGGTGCAAGGGAAACGCTGCGCGGGAAAGCTGTTGTATGTCGGTGGCTTCGCGTCGAACAAAAAGTGTGAAAAATATCTTGTCGTGGTACCTATCTTTTTGGGGACGTTTCAAAATGGGTGCATGGTTGTGCCATTCACCCTACCCAGAGGCACAAGACCACCGTCACAACAACAAGATGGTAGCGTGCTCAGCAGCAGGCAGCGCACTCCTCTCGATCCAAGATCGGTGGATGCGTAAGCGGAACAAAGCACTCCAATTGCTGCTGCTGTGCAACCGTCCCTTGCCGCGATGTTGTGGGCGGGTAAAAGTTGCAAAAAAAACTGGTCTTAAATTTTCGCTCTTCCCAAAAAAATGCACAGAAACAATGTCATCACGCGCGGTGGAGAGATACAACCAGGATGGATGGAAATTTGGCGGCTCTCTCTTTAGCTACTGCAGCTGCTGCTGTGCTGCTGCTGCTGCTGTGCTGTCTGCTGTGCCAAGCAACTTGGCACTCGGGCACTTGTTTATTAAATCCACCCACACACCTTGAGCCAGTGATTCCTGGCGCGTGTCGTGTCTGCTTTCGCTGCCGCTCTCAGCGCCAGCGTCGTCTGTCGGCACCGCTGCCGGTGACGGTGGTTCTTCTGCCGCAGGTGTTGTTGTTGCTGACTGGTGTTGTTGCTCATCATGCTGCTGCTGCACCTCCTCCACATCCATCACCTCGCTGTTGCTGCGTTGCTCGTCGTCCTCCTGCTGGTGGATCAACTCAACAGGCTGGTCCATTTCCATTTGAGCTATCTGGGTTGGCATTATGTCTGTGTGTGACCAAGTGGCGGGGTGTGAGAGAGTGTGTGTGGGTCTGCCGCCGTGATCATTTTGTACCGAAAAGTGAAAAATGTTCGCATATTTGTGGACCACCCCCCCCCCCCTCCAAAGTAGCTTTGTGTTTGGGAGGGGGGGTCACGATGCGGACAAACCGCGACAATGACCCACTCACCCGGCCGCGACATCGCGGCGCACACAGGCCGCGGAGCGGCAGTTTCTCGGATAACAATGGCCGCGGCGAAAAGACCAACTACCGAAGAAGCGGTGGCTCCGCTGGTGGAGGTCATGGGGGAACTGGTGCGAAAAATATGCGATTTCTATAGAGCAGTGTTCATGTGTTTCGCAAAGAGTGCCCCCATCTTCTGTTGCGGGGCAAGCTTCGCCTATCGTGCATCACACACGGCAGAGAGCGGTAGACGCGGCTATCTGCAGCATACGTGTGCAGTATACGTGTGTACAGCATGGTGGCAATACTGCTGAGCTGTGTGTGGTTATTCTTGTCTCTTTATTTATCGCCGCTCTTTGCCGATGGTATACTGCTGTGGCTGGCAGCTTCTTCAACCCCCTTGGTAATGCCCGCTGACGCGGAGTTAAGAACACAAAGCACACCGCTCATGTGTTCGAAGTTCAAGGGCAACGTTTGTAGAGCGTGCATATTGATGGTTCGGCACGCCAGTCCGGCAAATCCTTCTAATCCGACACAGTAGTTATTGTGGAAACGTACCTTGAGCCTTTTCAAGCGTACTCATTTTGTGCCTGCTGTGTGATCCAGCTCCCCGTTGTGGTCTTACTCTTTTCGATGCGAAGACGATATCGCACCCTCGATGTCTACTGCTGTCTACCCTTGCATAGCCAGCATCGACCTGTGAGTACGCACTATACGTAGAAATTACTGTGCAGCACAATTTAACACAAGCATTTCTGTGAGCATGATATGGCGCCGACATTCGTTGTTTAGTCTACATACAGCAGCATGACGGAATCGCTTGTCACACTGGCCCCCTTTTGCTGTTGCTTTTGCTTTTATATATATGACTGTCTGCCCAGCTGCCGCCTCTTTGTTCTGTTGCCTCCATTACTCCCATGCCCTGGTGCGTAGTGCCTGATGCTGGTACGGTACCCTTTGAGTGTTTAGGCGGGTGTGGGAAGCGTCCTCCTTTTTCCCTTTTTATTTTTGCCTTCATTTTTGTTTTGTTTTATTTTGATCGGTTTCCTAGGGCTCGTTTCTCGACCGGTCGGTGCGGTAGCTGTTCTTTTCTTTCTATCATGTTTTATTTTTCCGAGTGGTTTGTACTCTATTCTTGTTTTGTTTCCCCGCGGCGTCGTATGTGCCGGGTTTTGCGACCACGGGCTCCCCATTTTTGTGGACTATAGAGCTAATGTGAGAAACAACAACAACAACAACTGGCGTCAACAAGGGCCTCCTGCATGTACGAGCTACCGTATCGTATGTAACGATTACAACAGTACGCAAAGAGAACGAAAAATTGCAGATGTTGATGCGGTTCGCCGTCTTTTTCACGGGCACCGTGAGTTAGGAAAGTTTCCGAGGTGCTGAGTTCACGAGAACGCCTAAGGGGTGGTTAGGGTGCATGGCAGAGAACGATCGAACCGGATGTAGATTACCAATAACAGCCAACTTACGAGACGGAACGTCAGAGTGAATGAACAACGTGAAAACGCCCCAAAAATGAATGCGGCACACCCGTCTCTTGTGTGACTCCGCTGATACATATGTACGTCAAACATACAAGGGCGCCGGACGCGGGGGGTATTCTATCCGCCCCCCGTCTTCCGTTGAAGGGTGATGGGCGGAGGTGATTGCGGATCAAGTAGTACGCTCGTAGCATGGCCACACTGCGGTATGTCAACGGGTGATGCCACAGCACCGTTGTTGGTGCGCCGCTGGCCGTTGTTGAAACGCTCGCGAACCAACGACGGACAGAGCCTGTTGGCACGGAGATGTTTGCCTCAGAGATTTGAGGCGGTAGAGCGATGGTTGAAGAAATTTGCCAAATAGCGGTGGGCGAAGGTTGACAATGTCGCCTGTAAGGCAGTGTGCCCCGTGCGTATTGGTTCCCTACGTGAACGAAGCAGGGGTTGAGCAAGCAAAAACTAAACGCTGCTCGCTCATGTAGCAACTGCCGTGAGGGTTTGCAAACGCCTCACCGATAAATAGCAGGCTTTTTAAAGAAACAGCCGTCATCTCCCTATCAACGTAAACTACGTCAACTTCTGCATACACGCACACACAGATATGGCAATGCAGAGAAACCAGAACAAAAAAAATGTGCGAGGTGTCTCTGTGTGTAGCTAGATGCGCGTTTCCTCAACACGTCTGCGAGGTAGGGATTGGTTCACAATACACACGACAGAGCAATAGCGGCAGAGCTCGTAGACATGGGCCCGACTGGTGCGATATCGACTTCAACATGAGGGTCGCTCACCTCCGCGGCAGTTTCTCACGTTTTGCACGGAGTGAGGAGGTGTGTGCGCGTGTGTAATGTGGACCTTGATGCATCTACGCGTTTCACCAAAAAATATCTGGCAGGCGAGAGAGGTTACCACATGCCTCACACGACAGCGGAGTACACCAGTACTCTCGCAGCGGCAGAGGGGGTACCTGTAAGCCCTACAGGCAGGCGCGCTACCGACTGCACTGACAAAATAGTCTCGCGTCAGGAATTATGACTCATGAATCGACGTTCTCTGCCAAAAGCTCGCCGAACGAGAGTCGCGAGTCTGAATATAATCAACACTCCAGCATCATCCTCCCAGATGCAGATGCGCAGTCAGAGACCGAAGAGTAATTTACGGTGCCTGTAACTCGGGTCACTCGTCGAGTCTCGAGCTCGCGGCAGGGGGAGTTGAGAAGGGGAAACTTTCCTCGCCCGCGTCGCGAAGAGCAAAAAGTGCGGTCAGAGAGTTTGTGTGCGGGCGAGCGGCAGGGTCGAACAAACCATTTTGAATTGAGGGAGGTGGGATAGCCTCCCTGCGCTCCTAGCTCTGCGCTCTAGGCGCTCCACAAATGGAAGAGCCTAGAGACCAACCTTTAGTTAGATCTATCACGAGAGTTGTCGGCTGGCGCCAGAACAGACGAGACGAGAACACAAACACACCTCAAAGAGGAAGGACACCAGGCCCGTACGTTGTAGCAGAAAAGAGAGAGCCTATTATAGCACAAGCTAAGCGCAACCCAGGACACACGTCCTTGTCCGCGCGGGTCCTTCCGCAAGGGGTCAAGACCACCAGGAAGTCGCCTCCTTGCACACACCAAAGCCACGAAAAACGCGCTGGAACATGAGGTCACACAATGTCCGCGTCCACCACCATCCCTCTCCCGATGTAGCACTGACATTCCTCTTCAACACGCGTCTTGGAAAACACCTGAATATACAAAACGCAGGAGCAACAGTCGCCTCTTCCTGACAGCGGGTGCGTGCAGCAACACCAACAGCCGCCGGGCTTCGCAGCAGTGGAAGGAGTGCCCGTGGCCCGCGCTACCATGCGGCCTTTCGCGTACGTGGGCGTCCCCATTGACGACGACAACCACAACGAGCTGCGGCGGCCCTCTACCGCCGCAGCGAGCTACGACAATTCCCGCGCTGGGGCGGGCAGAGTCCACGGCGACGTGAGCGTGGGGGTGGGGGCGGATTACGACGGGGCGGCGGAAGCCGCCAAAGCAAGCGCCAGGAGAGACAACGCGGCGTTCTTCGAGAAAAAAAGGTGACTCGGTTGTGGGGGGTCGCCATGGGTATGGCTTGCGGCAAGCAGTGCGCGGGGGGCTACGCATGGTGGTGTCGCACCAATCAAAACGCCGCGACGATGAGCGCATCTCTCCTCGGCGGCGGGGAATGAATGGAGTACTGCTGTCGTCAGGACCAAAAAATCAGACGTATATAGTTGTACGTTGGAGGCCTTTACTCTCGAGGAGGCTTGAAGATGGAAGGAAGACAAACGCGGCAAGCGGGTTTCTTGTGCGGACCCCGAGTTTCCCGCAAAGTCCACCTACAGCTGAGGCTTTTACCGGCACGCAACACCGTGCAACCACACCAAGATGGTGCAAGTATGGTGGTGTTCCTGAGGGACACCGACCATAGTTGTACCATCCGGCCCGTACGTGTGCCGTGTGGCTTGCGCTCGGTGATTGCATGGAATTACATGCCGGATAAAGCCTCAGCTGTCGGTGGACCTTGTGGGAAATTCGGGGTCCGCGTAAGAACCCCGCTTGTCGCGTTTCCTTCTTACGCTCTCATCCTTTTTATGTGTGGACTACCGTAAGAATGCGGGTCTTCGCACACTGTTGTGCGGTCGTGGTTTAATATGTTTTTTTCTCGGTTTTCCTATCACACAGGGGTGCCAAGACGCCGATACGTACCGTGTACAATGCCCGATGCCTGTGCGGAACAATCATTAAGTGTTCGGTCCTGAAAATATAACTCACACCCCGTGCGATGACTCCGATCCGTAGTATATTCAACGCGGCGATGTGGGGTGTTTTGAACGCGCACCCCCGTGCCAAGACTCCGATGTGTGCGATCCTGAACAAATCACAGCAGACACACACCAAAACTTCGTGTGCAGCACTGCAGCATCAGGACCACAACATATCGAACACAGACACAACAGCACACAATAGCGCACACAAACCACACGCGGCGAAATAAAAATCCAAGGCGGCGAGGCGGTGTACTACCTTGAAATTCCCCGGACAAAGAGGTGTGTGCTCACACACACACCACACACAAGCAATACATTGGCTACGATGTCAGGATGCAAGTGCGTATTGTTCCCTGGCATTCTACCTGTGTTTTACGTAGTACCACCGTTGTTGGTTGTGGTCGATTGGTCTCGTGTGGTTTGTACGCGTGCTTGGTTAATTGAGTAGGATACCATTTTTGCCGATTCCGACAATAATAACAGTGTTCAACATCACTTGCACATGAGCAACGTTACGATGCCAAAGTACAACAGTGGAGCCCCATGATACAAGCTACCTTGGTACAGTAGTGGCCCGCGACAATAGCTGGATATAACCACTCGTGGTATCAAACCTCGCCGAAAAGTATCGGGGTCTCCGCACACCCCTGTGCGAAGTGAACGATACCTGTGCGATAATCAACTAAATCCCTTGGAACCCGATTTTTTCCGCTTTCGTCGCTTGTCAACGACGTTGTAAAACAAGCCAATTCACCTCGCGAACTCGGCAACCAGGTTACCGGTTCTTTTTTTACCTTTGTTTTTGTTTTTTTTGCGGTAACCATGAATGTTGGTCGAGTAGATCATGTTGTGCGGGGTCGAGAACCCTCACTCCGCGCAAGGGGGATGATCGCACCACGTTGTGTTAAATTGGTCAAGCATCCCCGAGGCAGTTACACAGTGCTTACAACTGTCTCTGGAAATGAAAGCACCAGAAAATAAATTAAGTCATACGCTGCTGTCATCCGTACGCAAGGAAGTAAGCACAAGATGCCGAACACCCTTAGCAGGATGCAGCTCACCCTTCATGCGACTCGCCGAATACCTCACGGCGCTTCGCGCTTGGTGATGTGAGAGCCTGGTCCGGTCCGTCCCGGCTTTGTGGGGATACGGTCAATGGTCTAACGACTACGGCATTCACGACTATGAGTACACCCCCCCCCCCTGTGCCAAGACCCCGGCCTGTGCGATGTAGCCGATCCGTGCGAAGATCCTCATTCTTGCGGTATTCTCAGCGACACTGCTTAGATACATTTTATTTCTCCCAAGCCACGAATGCGGTTCTTGTGGACGGATTTGATTTTTTTTTTACTCAAATGAACGTTGGTGAACGATGCTTTTTGACGCTTGCGTCTCTCGCTTTCTCTTACTCACAAGTGAACGTAGGGTTTATTGGAACGCTTCGTCTCTCGCTTTTTCCAAACTCACGTGGACGTTAGCATTGGAGGTTTTATGGAGTATTAAACCTGGCTGACTCTCTCTCTCTCTCTCTCTCTCTCTCTCGCCTCCTTTTCCCGCCCCTCTCCCCTCCCCCTCCCCTCTTGTTTGTGCCGCCGATTTGGATCGAAACCTCGTCGAAACCTCGTCCACGCCCCGGTTAACGAGAAAGGTTCACAGAGGCGCAAGCGAAATCGCGAGTGGAAGAGGACCTCCGGGCGATCGAGACTGCGCGCATCAACGCCAAGCGACGGGACGCGGAAGGTGTTGCGGGGGTCGGGTAAAAGCGGCGAAACTCCTGCCCTATACGTATCTCCCTTCTTCTCTTGGCCGCCTGCGGTATTTCACCCGCTTGTATCTCCCTCTCGCTTAGTGCTCACTCTCCCGCTGCTAGGTACCCTCTCCATCGATTGGGTTATTTGTTTTTTGCTGTAAGGGTTCGATCATGCCGTGGCAAAGTGTACCCTCTGATACATGTACCCATGGACAACTCTTTTTTTTTTGTTTTGCGTGATCGTTTCCTGGTGAAGGACTCGACATGCGCCCTCACCCGGGCAACCGCCTCGAGCCCGAAGACGCGACTCCGCTTGGAGAGAAGGAGCGGGACTACGGAGCGGGTGGCGGGGGTTATGGCGGCGGTGTGCAAGAATCGAGCGGGAAGGAAGCGGCGGCGGTAGGGGAGGAGTCGGCAGCTGGGAAGGGCTGTGAGCAGGAGGCATCGGGTGGAGGGTACCAGTTCTCCGAGTACGTGCCAGCGGAGTATGACATCCCAGACTACAAGTCCGTTTACGAGAGGCCCTCTGGGAAATAGGGTGGGAAAGGGATCGAACGTCTGTTCCGGGAGGGGGGGATTACAAGTTGCTGTGGCCGTATGGGTACACGGTAGAGTGCTTGAACCCCGCCCACCCCACCCCCCAATGGGGTCTAGCGATACATGTTTGCAGCTCTTGAGTTCTCCTGACACTGGAAGGACTTGCCGTTACAGGAATCTCATGATTTTCTTATGGGCGGTTGAAGTCTGGGTTGGTGGAGAACTACTTTGTACCCTTTTTGTGCTTTGTCTACCTGGCGTCCGCGTAGTAAATGCATGGTTCGTATCTGTCCACCGGAGAGAGGATGGTTTTTTCATCAAGAGGTAGCGATGGCACCGTCGCCGATGATCACGACCGTACGTACGGTCAGCGAACGTGGTTTTGCGGTAAGGGATTCCACCTTTGCTGGTATCCGGACATTATCGGTTGAAGTCAGACAGATCGTTCGTGCCTTGTAGATACGGTAGATATTTTGGGAGGTGCATGTTTCAAGTTTCGAAAGGTTGATCTGTGAGGGTGGAGGTGAGGGTCTCGTGTGTGGCATCGCCTTCATCGGGCGGACAGTGACCCTTGTCCTTGTGGTCGTTGTGTCGAATTTTCACGTGGAAAGCCGGGGTAGGATTAGTGTGCCGTTGAAACCGTGTGGCGCGAACTGGAGATACTAATCGTGTTCGCTATCCACGTATGCGTAGGCGTGGCGCAAGCATGGCATTTGAGCGAGGCCCGCTTCCAAGCGTGGGTGCGTAATGTAGCTTTGTTCCTTTTGGGTTTCCGTGTGTGGTTGGGTGTATGTTGTGCATGTGAGTGCGAGTGAACGTGCAGAATCGGCTCCCGACGGAGTTTGGGCTTGTTCGTCCACAAGTTTTTAAGTCAAGTGTATACACGAGAGAGGTAGCGAGTGAGAGAGCTACCCGCTTCCGGTTATTCATGGTATTGTACAACAGAATTATCTGGTGGTCGGTTTCTCCTGAATTTTCCCTGCACGCATACGTGTAGGTAAGACAGGTAAGGCGTGGCGCCGCGTGTTACCTTTTTTAACGGCAGCTGGTGGGTCAAACATCAAATAGATTGCCATGTGCCCCCGGCTGCTTCCCCAATTGATTTGTTTGACCCATTTTTTGCTGAATGAAGTTTTCGTAGTCTATTCGAACAACAACGCCGGCACTGCATACAGGAGTAACAACACAGCAGTAGTAGTAGAGTGTGGTATCATGAAAAAGAAACCATTCATTCATTCATCCACCACGTCGAAAGGACAGGAAGTAAGTAAGGACATATTGCGGGAAGCCCGCGAATAAAACCTGTAAAGAAAGGAAGACGATAACAACAGCTAAAGGGAAACGTACATACTACAACGGAATGAGACCACGCCGTAGAGAAGGGGAGGCAGCTATATAAGACGGCTGGAACACAAACCGGGAAAAAAGCGCGCACGCACGGACGCACGCGTGGCGCGGAGTGTAAACAAAAACTAGCAATATCCGAACCGAAAGGCCGTATGGCGTGGCATAGATAGGTGGTGCTAAATATAGAAACCAAAAAAACAGCAAAAAATATCCTACTACTAGTCGAAATGCAAAAAAAGCAACAGATGATGAGTCGTCATCAAGACGACCTAGCGCGCTTTGCCGGCGACGTGTGAAGCTTCTTGCTCCCCCGTTTCTGTATGGTGGGTCAAACATCAAACACACACTACACCTAAAAGGTGCATAGGGAAGGCGTACGGATGTGGGCGCCGTTGTATCGGTGGCTGGTGCGTCAATCATATACTCCAAAAAGGTGTACAGACTGGCGGCCAGATCAGATGGGACGGAGAGAGAAAGAAAGAAGAGACAAAAATCATCATTATTGGACACACCCGGAAGCATGAGAACCTCGAGGCCTAAGTACTCATCTAGCCGCCCTCGGTCATCCCGGGCTTTGTAAATAAAAAAAAACTCCCGGAGTAATGTCGACAAAGGAATCCCTAAAAAAACATAATTCACGAAAACAAACTGACGCGCACATGACGCTGTTTCATGAAAACAATATACCGCACACAAGAACAAAACACGGCATGCAACGCCGTTTCATATTGATATGCAGAATAGTACAAACCAAAGCCGATGCCGATCGTAGCCACCCGATTCCTATTCCCAAGCACCCAACAAACTAAGACGCCGACAAAATGTTAGATTCAAAGACTGGAGTCCTCCCTGCGCACCCGCAGGGCGCGACTTGTCCCGTTCGACTGGTCCAACGTGGGGGGCGTACGGGGATGGTGGGAGGCGTATCCCTCTTGTCAGCTCTCGTCAAACCACACACGCAAGAGGCTTCATCGCCTTTGCATTATTTACAACAACACACATCCTAGAAACGCCAAGAAGCCGCTAAATTATTCCCAAAACACGTGACTAGACTTCAACAACTGCAGCGTATTTCTTTTTCGTAGTTCAAGTCGATTTCATAGAGTTGTCGAAAGCAAGCACTATGAAATGTATCTTCCCTTCTTTTATCTGTAGAGCTCCACCTATCCATACCATCAAACCTGCTGCTAACACCAAAACAAAAGTTTATGTACACACAACAACATTGAATGGCGGTTCTTGTCGATCGAAGCCGAACCCGACGCCGCCATCGTCAAAATAAGGTACACAGCAATCACTAACTTTCTTTGCCAATCAACCTAGCGAGACTCCCGACACGACACGAACAACACGCGCAAAGCACTCGCTTCCCAACACACGCATGGTAGCTGCGAGAGAGTGTGGTGTTGGACAACTACTTGTACTACGTTTTCCTGGAAACGATGCAAGGTCTACTGTAGGCAGCTACACTGTAGCATAATAGCTTGACTGGAGGGTTTCATGACCACAAACCTTCGTCCCGTGTAGGTGCCTTGAGGTAAGCCTCCTTTCCGACCCCGGTCGTCGTATCGTCACCGCTTCTACATAGGGCGGTCGGGTGGCCGACGACAAAGCAGACGCCGTACAGGCAGCCCCATATTCTTAGCACCGCGAGGTTGGTCTTTAACTGAAAGCGCCTACCATTGTACGACGCGTTCAGTTGGCCAAGCAAGCAACGCAGGCTACGTACGCATCGTAAAAGTGCCCTCTCCCCTTGAGCATGACGCACGTGGGATCCAGCAGCTTTTGCAGCAACGACCCACAGATAGGGTCCCCTTCCTGGCAACAGTGCAGTAGCAACAGCAGGAACGACGTGGAAGAGTAAACGGCACGCAAGAACAACAGGGCAAGTGGCGTCGTCGAAACGTGGTCGTGGTCGGACGTGGACGTGCCAGTCGTCGCCGGCGTCGCTACGAATGGATCGCAAAACACCGAGAGTGGTGTTCCAAGGCAAGAAAGTGCGGCGGGTGATAGCACGCTGAAGTATTTTGAATTAATGATGAATCGTCGCGCGAGAGGGGAGGGTTAACCCCTTAACGGAAAACGAAACCGCACATGGATCCTCGCGCACAATGCAGCGGGAACCTAATTAATTGTAGCTGGCGACGTGTTAACTTATGAAGCAACAAGACTGACCAATGCCACCTCTTCCCACGCACGCCTTCCACACAAACCGTACCATGCACATGTTGGTGGCCTTCTCCGTCCAGCCAAGGGACAGGGCCGGCCTCCCGAACATGCGAACGCGGGCCGCGATGAACCCCATGCCCATCAGGTTTCTCGCGCCGACCGCGCCCAGAGAGTGGGCGTCGAGGGTGTTGGCTGATTGCGCCGCGAAGTCTCGGAACGCGGAGGCCAGGACCCCGTTCTTCTGCACCACCTCTCGTTCAGTCGCACTCAGAATTCCCTGCCAAGGAAAAACATATTGCCGGGGGGGGGGGAGTACCCCGTCGTAGGTTGCCTGGGTTGCTGGGCCACGCAAACGCCGCTCCTAGCAGTAGAAACACACGCCAAGCACGCGGCGGGCGTTCCTCTACCTTTCTGCGATGCTTTCGTGAGAATTCCGTGCTGCTGCGCTTGTCTGCCGCCGCCCTTCTTCTCTTGGCGCGTCGTTTTGCCAATAAACGTCGGTGACGGGGGACTGGTAGCTGACGCCAACAACCGACGGGCTGGCGAGTAGAACGCAGAAGAACTGGGGTCCCGGCTACGTTCAAACGTCTACCGCACTGCTGACACGGCATTTGTCTTGGCACAAAACACCGTAACAACAAGGCCTCGTCGTTGCCGTCTCGGTGTCACGGGCAAGGCAGGAGGCGGCGAAGGCGCACAGCTCCGCGAACAAAGGTGGCGGTTGCTTAGCAACAAGAGGCCTGGTGGCCGCACGCTTGCAAGCGACTTGTCCACGGACAAGAGAGGCAGGCCCGTCGGTTCCAACCCTGCGGACAAGAGAGCCTGGTTGCTCCAGACTCGCAAAAAAGTAGTTAAACAACAAATACAGGACACGACGTCGAGCCACAAATCGTATAAATGCCCACTTCTTCTATCAACTCCAATGAACACCAATTTCAGACTCCTCCCCCCTTTGGTAGGATCCAATCTGAAATACTCGCTTCACAACAAATACAGGGCACGACGTCGAGCCACAAATCACATAAAGACCTGAATACCTGGAGGGCCAACAAGGTATCGGCGGTGTCGAACGGCATGGAGAGGATGGGCCTCTCTCCGAATATCCCGTTCGTTCGGGAGAAGAACCCGCGCAGTTGATATGCGTGCGCCTGTTTTATTGACGGACCGGCGCGGGCGGAAAGACAGGGCAAAAACAACGCCAACTTACTTCCGAAGCTCTCATGAGATAACCATAAATCGTCGACCTCTTTGATGGGCGGGAAGTCTGGGCATGAATGACCCCCAGCGTCCGGTTATGCTAGATCGTGTTAATAAATGAGACTATCAGGGGGGTTGCATATTTTCAGCGGAGGCCGACAGCTTCTCGAGACTTGGTTTCCATCCTAAAGACTTCAAGAAAGCAGTTCATGTTTCCCCCTCTGGCTTTCGTACTTGACGCCTCCCTACCCTACCCTAGGTGTACCTAGCACCCGTCCAAGCTACGCGCGAACAAGCACAAGATCCAGTCAATTGATGCTAGCACGGGAGAAAACACCGCAGCAGTAGTGCTACCGAATAGATGTGGCTAGTGTTTTTTCGTTTCACGAAGTCGAAGGAATTAATTGCGTGTGACACCGGTTGGTGCGTCAAACGTATACCCAGTAGATGGTATGGAAAAAAAAAATGAAAGTGCACTGAATCCAGAGACTTGTGGATTATGTCGTCCAAGCTCCTTTTGCAGGCCCCCTGACGGGGGAGCCCGCCAACAAGAAAACACCGCGTTCTTTTTTCTCTCGTATTATTACACTGACGAGTTATCATCAATGTCTCGTTGTAAAAGACTGGCGAGTTATCATTGATCAGCCGGTTGGTGCCGTCGATGCTAAACAAAGAAAGCACTCACACACAGACATACATGCATACGCATACCTTCCTCACCGCCGTCGCAAGACCGCCAAACGGGGGTGTCTGCCACCACGCAATAACGACGGTGGGACGCCACATTTTTTCGAGTTCCAGTGTTTCAGGCACGTGCGTGCTGCGACAAGACCATCCTGACCCGGACGATGCGCGCGCCTCGAGATAAGCACGCACACACGCAGGCATGGATGGCGGCAAAGGGTTCTTCTCACCTCCGTCGTCGTCGTCGTCGTCGTCGCCGCCGCCGCCGCCGTGGCGCCAACAACACGCCTCATCCGGGAGCCGGCCAACCCGTTGCCGAGGTGGCTGAGGCCCAGCAGGATCCCGTTCGCCTCCAGCACGTTCAATGAGACGACCCGGCCCGACGCGGCCACCAGTCGGATGAAGGTCCCCTGCCCCAAGAAATGCCACATCGCTCCTAGCAAATCCCCGGCCTGGGGTGGTGTTGTAACGCCAACCGCGGTATGACACACGGAGGGTTAGGGCGTGAGAGAGTTGGAAGCGACGAGACAGGCAGACCCGAGGAGCAGCATCAAGAACGGACGCTGGAGATCCAAAGTTACCCCCCCGCCCATGTCCGTATGAAAGGAAGTAAAAGCATAAGATGCCGAACACCCTTACAGCAGGATGCAGCGCACCCTTCGGGCGACTCGCCGAATACCTCATGGCGCTTCGCGCTTGGTGATGTGAGAGCCTGGTCCGGTGAGACCCCGGCGTGCTCCGTCCCGGCTTTGTAGGGATGCGAGGTCAATGGTCTAACGGCTACGGCATGCACGACTATGAGTACACCCCCCCTATGTCCGTATGAAAGGAAGCAAGGACAAGATGCCGAACACCCTTAGCACGATGCAGGGCACCCTACATGCGACTTGTGACTCCCGAATACCTCACGGCACTTCGCGCTTGGTGATGTGAGAGCCTTATCCGGTGAGAACCGGCATGCTCCGCCCCGGCTTTGTAGGGTTGCGAGGTCAATGGTCTAACGACTACGGCACGCACTGCTATGAGTACACCCCCCCCTCCTCCCCCTATGGCTTTGCGTTGTGATTGGAGGACGTAGCACCTTGCCCGTCCCGAAGTTCCCCCTGAGCGGTCGCCCCGCACCTAGTCCGTGCGGCAGTGCATGGCAGTACCACATGATGGCCACCTCGATCGTTATCCTGAACCAGATGTTATCGAGCATGGAGCAACACGAAAACGACAGACGACAATAGGGAGAAAGGGAGAGGGGTGACGCATCGTCAAACTAGATGGGGTGGACAACCGCTCACAAGCATTAAAAGGATGACAGTTCTTTGCGCAAGCTTAGCCTCCGTCGCGAAAAAAAAGAAACTATGAAAATATCACCTACAGAGCGCAAACCGCGGGAAAGTTATCCTTAACCTCGACATCAGAACGCGAGCCAGGCGTCACATACACATGAGCCTTTTCACCAAGTACCGCCATGACGTTGCTGTGTGGGCAGATAGTACTCAAGCCCTTGCCGCCCTACATCCCTTTCGGTAGCATCCAAGACCGAGACGCGGCTGGGGGCACACCCGCAAAACGAATGATCAAGGGACACACGCACAGGTTCTCCTGTTGCTACCATTTCTGTCTTTGATCCGGAGAATAGACAAATCTCCCCCATGCTGCCCCCTCACGGGGTCCCAGTTCATGGCAGATAGAAGTGTTTTGTGTTTTCAACCGCACTAAGACTGACGTATTTTCATTGGTCAGCCGGTTAGCGCCGTCGATGCTAATAATAAAAACACACACGTGCGGAACCAAAAGATCACACAAGCGCCGGGATTTTGTGAGAGCACTTCTTCTTCTTCTTCTTCTTCTTCTTGCGGACGACGGTTACAAGCCAACAGACACGTTACCTGGCGACCTGCTTCCAGTCGTCTTCGGCCCCGGTCAGCCTCTTGGCGCAGGAGGCCCACACGGCCAAGCCCACGACGAAACCGGCCACGACGGAGTGGCTCGAGGCGAGCGCTCCCGCAACGACGTGCACGGTCGCTTTCCCGACCGAGGTCGCCTCGCACCAGCCTCCCGGAGCCACCAAAGACCTACACGCGCCGGTTGACACCAACCCATGGGCTCCCGAACGCCTGGAACGCTTGAGCCGAGCTTTGGCCCGCCCGATCCGGCCAGGCCGCCTTGTGCGGGACGGCGGGGAGGCGCCGGCGGCGACGTCCCGCCGCCGTCTAGCGCACGCTCCAGGGCCGAACCTTCTAGACGCGGTGGTAGGGGGGATTCTGTCTGCGGTCGCGGCGCGGTGGCGATCCGTGCGGGTCGCTGGTGGTGCGTCTGCGCTGGTGCGTTGTTGCCGGTGCCAGAAACTAGGAGGAGGCGCTGCTGCCTCGTCGTCGGGAGTTGTTGATGACGTCACCGACGCATTCGGCGCCGTCTTGGTGTTCTTCGTTCTCGCGCGCGAAGAACGAGGGACGGTAGGCTTGGACCCTCGCCCGTTGATGCGGATGTCACCCTTGGGCCGTCGGTCACGGTTGATGGGCCGCCGTGAATCTGTGTTGGTGGAGCGGCTTTGCTGATGGCGATGTGCCCTTCTCGTCGGCAAGGCGGACTCCGAGTGCTGTAGACGTTCGGTCGGCGGAAAACGAACGAACAAAACAAATAAGAATGATACGGAATGCAGCAATTGTTGCGCTTCTCGATGCGGTTTTACGACGTTACGAGCCCAGCGTCTCCCGCCTGCTGGTAGGACAACTATCCTGCAGAGGATTAGACGAACGTTGGAGTTGACAAAGTCAGCACTGTTGCTTTGGCGTGTAGTTCATGCAGGTGCGTCTGGATTTTCCGCCGGCCCACATGCCTTCTTCGAACTGCTTTACTGGCGCGCATGTCTCCCGCCTCCTCCCTCTCAACAACCTCCACCCATGATGGAGAGACAATGCGAGGGTGTGGTGTATGGGTATCTTTATTTTTAGCGTATGTCGTACTAGGGGGAACGATTGGCCCCCCGCCCTATGATGACGCGGGCTGCCAGAATGAGTGGCATGGCTGCTGGGGTTTTGAGAGGCAGAACAAGCAGAAACGCTGACGAAATTGTTGCGAAATACATTAGTAGAAGCGAAGCTGGGGTTCACGATGTGAGGTCCCCACGCCACGTCCGGTGCATAGATCTGTACTTCCTCGGCGTAGCCTCTCATTCCGTGTGATGTTATTGAAGTTCGTTCCTGACAAAAATAGTTCGAAAAACATTCTTGGAGAGATTTCCGGTGTCCGATCGTCTGCAGTGCCACTCCGATACGCTCAATCGCTTATGCTGCGCAACACCAACAAACGCCCACGCCCTTTGACATGGATGGAGAAGAACCACACATATATACGTATGTGGAAACTACGTAGGGCAATCATACTTGCAATGCGTAGTCTATTCTTGCGCATGTCTGATGGATTTAGATGGAAAAATAAAAATGCAGTCAGGACGGTCTATAATGCGACAAAGGTGTACTTGCTGTACATGCTTCAAGAACTCTGCTGAACACTGCTGTAGCGTGAAGTGATGCTCCCCAATAGGACATACTCCGCGCTGATTCGTTATTCACGAAGAACTCTCTCCACCAATGCATGCGACGCGTATGTTTAGGGTGGAGTGGATATCTTGCCGTGTCAACCGCAGCAGTCGCTTAGCCCGCTGCGCAACACAGCAGTAGCGGTACACGCCAAAGGGGTACTACATCATTCAAATAACGCTGCACGATACAGCAGTGTTCTCCGTTAGGACGCGTTCCGCTGATTCGTCACACCGGAACAGCTCTGTTGGCACATGCGTTTGTATATGATGGGATAGATTGTTATTGCCGTCTCAGCTGTCCGCTGTCGGTTTGGTCGTTATGCAAGAAGACCAGCACATCCTCGGCTGGTAGTTCTGCGCGGCGACAACCATACGTGTACCCGTTTCTCGGCAGCAGCTATAAACGCATGTCACAGGTCCACGCAAAGTTGCGTCGCATTCAAGTACGCTTTTGTCGTGTCGCAGGAGGTACTCACGCACCAGTCGTTGTCGTGGTAGGAAAATTTCCTTGTCCGGTCCATGAAGAATAAAAATAATAATAATTCAAGCTTCGAGCCATATTTTTTCCCATACTAAAACTTGGAAATGTGTCACGGCGCCACCGCCATCCTGTGAGTATATATAACATGATGTGCATGTGTATGTGTATGTGTGTGTGTATGGATACGCCCCCACTCGCCGGTCCAACAGAGCTGTAGCTGGAGACATCGCGTGTTGGCCTGGACACGCAGTTAGGTAATACTTTGTTATGGTGACAGCGAACTGGGGAGCGACACCGTTATGTAGCACGAGCAGAAGTGTTAGGGATTATGCCGTCTTAATGGTTGTGCCACTTCTCAGAGGGGTACATCACACGACATCCGAACCTCTACCACTCCATGTGCGTGACGTCACAGCACAAATCATTTGATTTAAAAGTGTATTTCTGTGTAGGGGTCGGCGAGATCGCACCCGGTGCGATCTGACCGACCCTAAAATCCAAGATTGAGCTCTTTCTGATCTGCCGTAAACAAGTACATGTGCGCCCAATTTACATGTCATGTGTGGTGACGGTGTCAGCGGAGCGCGACCTTCACATATGTATGTACGGTCGGTGCGGTTCACGCAGAATTGCCTGTTGTTTTCATATAATCGGTACGTACGGTAGCTGCAAACCGTGCACCACCCAAGTACACAACGTAAAAGCCATGACCTACCCCTACCTTATGAAACAAGCAAATCGATGTGCTGCTTGCGTACTGGTATTCGTAGAGGAAGACCTAAACGAAAGCGGGAGACAACCTGGTACCGTGTGTACCGGTACCCCGGATGGAAACCACTGTCCTTGTCACGCAAGAGCCAAACTCGCACTCAAATCAATGACCGCTCACCGCATGCAAAGCTGCGATCTATGTACACGTACGTATACCAGTCTACGTTCTAGTACACGGTACGCCGCACATCGTCTGGTTGTGAATACCAATACTCAGAGGCAAAGAGGCAGCGCCGGTCTGGGAGATGGTTTCGGGGTGCATGCAAAAATATCGCCGTAGCACTAGAAAAACTGGCAGATGTGCCTGAAGGACGACCTCAAGATGTTCGAAGCAGAGCACGGATCTACGGACGCCGAGCCATGCTTCTTCGGAGTCCCGGAAACAACTTGGATGGAAGCAGCGAAGGTGGACCGGGGGGTACCGTGGCATACAGGGGTACTGCAGGGAGCTAAGAGGTTCATTACCTCCTGGCACAAGAAGGAAGAGGAGGCTAGCCGACAACGAGCGCTCAAACGAAACAAGGTGCCCGACAGCAACACGGACACGGCAACAACCACGGGGGTGGGAGGGGTACAGCAGGCGGACGAGACGGCGAGGACAGGCAGGAAACGCGAAGAGGCGGACCGAGTGGCGCGAAACACCGTGCCGAAATGAACGGCTACCCCTATTTGCACGACGCACGTGCAAATAAGACGTGCACGCTTCGAAACGCCTTCGTGGATGGGTTGAAACTGGGTTATACACACACGTGACCGACCCAACCCAACCCACCCAACCCAACCCTGACCCTAACCCTAACCCTAACCCTCACGGACGTCCAACCGGGGCCGTGGTGGCGAGACTGGCCACGAACGCGGCTGCGCCACGTTCGTGGTCCGCATGTCAGAACGTGGTCCGCACGCTGCGCGCGCTGTTTTGACCAATCACAAGTCGAGTCGTGCACGGTCTTATTTGCACTCGCGTCGTGCAAATAGGGGTTGCCCGAAATGAACCTCTTGCTTGACTTATCCCCCCCCCCCCCCCCGGCACTGCACCATTGCACCAACCCCCCGTGAGCGATGACGTGCATGGGCTGGCTCGAGTGACCCGCTTTGTCTTGTGTTGTTTTGTGTTGTTCTGTTTGTTTGTTTGTTGTTTGTCGCTAAGGCGTGCGTCTTTCTCTGTCTGTGTCTTGCTCTTTCCCTTTGCTTCTCTCCATCTGCTCTATTCCTTTCTTTTTTCTTTTTCTTTTTTTTTTCTTTTTCTCTTTCTCTTTCTCTTTGTTTTTCTCTTTCTTTTTTCTTTTTCTATCTTTTTCCAATCTAGGGTTACCTCGCATAGCGTGCAGAGAGGCGAGCGGAGTGGCCTAGACTATCTGTCGTTGACTTTTATTGGCTTGCGGACCGGGTCCATTTTATTTTCGTATACCTTTTTTTGGGTAAGTTAGCATGTGACCACGGGAATCGATCCCGTCAAGTGCTAGACTAGTACGGACAGAAGAAGGTGCTGAGCAGAGAGAACGGAACGGTTTTTAATGTGAAGACAACAACAACAACTACAGTATCTACATGTAAGCGGTCGCTATGTGTTGTATTTCATCGGGCATCACACCGGTCGGAGAGATCGCACCGGGGTGCCTTGAAAAAGCTAAATGAGATTGTTCGCATATTTTCCGCACCGGGGTCGGAGAGATCGCACCGGGGTGTGGCAAAAAACAAAAAGAAAAACATTTAAAAATCGATCGTACCCGGTGCGCCACCATCTCTCCGACTCTTACGTAAACGGCGCAAGCACTAGACTATACAATATAAGCTATGAGCCCTGAGATTGAAGTGAATACAAAAAAAAAAAAGAAGCGGTAGATAGGTGACGCGCCTTGGCTATTTCCCTTCACGCCTAGCAAGAAGATCGTTCTGGTCACCACACCCTGTTGTCTGTGGCCTGCCCAGTTGCTACTCGTTCAGCACGATTGTGACTGCTGTGCAGTGGCTGAACCAATGATGTCTCTCTGCATTGGTGGTATGGCGGAACAACGAACAATGCAGGGCGGAACAACGTCCTGCATTGTTGGTACGTCAGCAACTGAAGGTTTATTTCTATCCCGTTATCCCGTTGGCTTTCTCTCCCTTTCGAATAAAATATTCACGAACAAGAGATAAGACTGAGGCTGCTCCCCAGCAGCACAGGAGCTATGCACGTAGTAGCCAGGGCTTACCGAACGAGCAGATCTTCTCGGCCGGTTTCCATTGCGCAGGTTGCTTCTTGTCTGATCCCGAAGGTTAACGCTGGACTGGGGGAGCGTCCAGCGTTGTGCAGCAGCCGCAGCGGTAGAACGAGGCAGCGACAGAGACCGAGGAAGAGAGCATAACAGGAGGAATACCAGGAGGAGACGAGTCGTCCTCCAGACTCTCACGCGGGCTGATGTACCTACCATACGAGGGCTAAGCGTTGACCCTAACACCGCTGTCAAAAGATAGCACACACTGCACATCTGCGCTGAGTGGATGACATGGCCGGGGTTGATGATGACTCGGAAGCTCGGAAGATTCGAATCGTAACATTCGGTTCGGACACATCGATCCCCACGGTTCGGCGAAAGGTAGGGTTCGAAATTCGAACCAATTGCAATTATCGCCGCAGCAACCGCAGCATTCCTTCAAGGGCTTCAAGGCCTCTGTGTACTGGTGTGCAGGTGTGCCGGTCGGTGTATGCATAGATGCAACGGTTGGTCAGATATCTAGGTCAGCTGTCAGCTGGCTGTCCTGTGGAGTTTGTCCAGAATCTCACGAACAATCCCTCGAGCATACAGCATGGTCCATGAATTGTACGAAGTACAACAAAACAACTTGCAGTTGGTTCGAACGGTATCTCCTCTCTGCTTCTCTGTTTCTGACCGCGAAAAAAAGCCAAGTACAAGTGTTTGAATCGAGCTTGGAATCTACGCACGTCGAACCTCGAACTGCCTCCTGTGTGGTCCCAGCAAACACATGTGCACTTGCCGAAAGGTATAGACTGCAGTGGCGCCCAGATTGGACGGGACGAACACACGCACAACACCCCTCATCGTTGCAACACACACACACGGCTTTTGAGTGTGTGCTTCGACAGGGACAAAAAGTGATGGCCACCAGTCAAAGGGCAAGAAGAGCACAAAGCAAGAGTGCCTCACGTGCCGAGGTCGGTGTGCGTTCTGCGAACGGATACACAAGACACATTTCAACGAACAGGTATCAGTCACCCCAGGCATGGTGTAACATTCTGTGAGAGGGGCAAGACAGTGTAGCGCGCTTCCGCAAAATCGTACACCGGATCACCGCGCCCTTCGTCAACACCGGTGCCCCTTGATCAACATATCCGCATACGTGCTCACCACGAGGAAAATTGTGTTTTTACAAACATCCAGGTCAACAAACCACACCACCGTCACCAACCTCTTTACCGGGTACTAGCCACTGCTGCCAAAACGGTTCGACCTCTACATCTGCTGCTTCACGCCCTCGAATTCAAACAGAGTGTCGTTCAACCTCTACTGCCGGTGCCTCAGCCTCTGCAGCTGTTGCTGCTGTCGTTGCTGCGGCTGCCACCGCCGCTGCCGCTGCCCCCTGGTTTTGACCGGGAGAGGCGTCTCCCTTCCTATACGTAGGCCCCGGCGGCGACGAGCTCGTGGACGAATCGTCCTCATCACCTCCTCCAGACACGATAGACAACAATCGCCGAATGCGCATCTCGAGGTTCTGTACAGCTCGGTCGACGTCCGCCTCTAGTCTCAAAGCGCTGTGGCCCCGTCAGGAAAAACAGGGAAAGGGGGAGGGGGGGGGGGGGGGGGGGGGGGCTTAAAAATTTTTAAACCGGGCCCTGTTTTTTTTTGGGGCCCGGGGTTTCCCAGCCCCTTTTTTGGCCCCGCGGGAACACCCCCCCCACCCCCCCGGGGGGCAAAAAAACCAAAATCCTCCCCTTTTTTGGGGAAAACACCCCCCCCCCCCTGGCCAAAAAAAAAAAAAAAAAAAAAACAAAAAACCCCCGGG